AGCCCATCCCTTCCTGCCTGAACCCCTGGCGCTCGATTCTCTTCCTCATTCATAAATGTCCTTTGTGTCATTTTTTCCAGAATAGGGCACTTCCGTCTGCATTAAAAACCTGTTCAGGTAAATTTCCTTTCTCCTCAGTGATTTTCCCAGGGGTGTCTGGAAACTTGTATGCTCCCTCTTGGTGGACAGCAGCTGCTGCTCCTGTTATCTTGACATTTTTTTTAGCTGAGCCATCCTGCTACCTGTTGGCAGCTCAGCGGCTGCTCAGCTCGGGCTGGAATCGAACCACTGTTGCTCAGAGCTCAAACTCTTGAGCGAGCTCTTAACCAACTGAGCCACTCAGCCAGCCCTATCTTGACATTTTTAAAGCCAAACCTCTTACTAAAATTATCACACCATCCTTTGCTGGCATTAAATTCCCCAGCTTCATCTTCCTTTGGCTTTAAATGGTCATAGGATGACTTCACATTTCTCGAATCATGTTAGCATCTATACCTGTGCCTGCCTTACAGCCATCCTGCACCCACACAAGAGCTGCATTTTCAATATGAGATTAAAAGGTATTTTGCAACAAGTACGAGGTTTTCTCACCTGCTGGTGTAGTGTCAGTGACGACTTCACAAATTTCCTTTTTTTTTTTTTCCCCAATGGCCCTTACACTGGCTTCATTTATCTTGAAATGGCGGGCAACTGCAGACCTCAACCTATGGTACCTATCAAGCAATTCAGCTTTTTCTTGTAATGTCATGACTTTTCTCTGCTTTTTGGGACTATTTCCGATATCACTAGTGGCGCTTTGTGTGGGTCCCATGGTGTTATTGAAAGTTTATGGTATTGTACTAAACACATGAAAAATACACAAGAACCGTGAAAAAAATCACATTTTCCTGCAATACGCTGGGGCGACAGACTGCTCCCACAGAGATGCTTAGGGCCACACAGAGTTTTTAAGCAAATATTCGCAATCCAGAGATCGCTGCAATAGCAATAAGAGATGGCTACAAAATTACAGTAGTACAGCACGTACTATAGTTAATTTGGTGCAGTTATGATGTAATGTTGAATCTTTATGTTTGTTTACATTTCTCTGTAAATGGGGTCCCCTCAGTCTGTAAGCATGTATGTAAGTTTCGATGCATTTTAACTTTTTATAATAGATTTGTGGATGCTTTATGGTAGTGAATGATAAAATAGACAGGTATCCACATATATTTTATACATTTGTGACATACCTTTTTCTTAATTTTTTTATATTTCTAGGCTACATGGTTCATCTGCAAGTTTTTTCAAATTATCGCAAATTTCAAAAACCTTTTTCCAATATATTTTTTGTAATTAAAATTTATTGGGGTGACAATGGTTAGCGAAGTTACATAGATTTCAGGTGTACAGTTTTGTAATGCATCATCTGTATATCACATTGTGTGCTCACCACCCAGAGTCAGTTCTCCTTCTATCACCATATATTTGATCCCCTTTACCCTCATCTACCACCTTCTCCCCCCTTACCCTCTGGTAACCACTAAACTATTGGCCTGCGTCTATGAGTTTTTGTTTCTTTATTGGCTTGTCTTATTCCTTTGTTGCTTTCAGTATTTTTTTCCCAATTTTTTTTTATTTTTTATTTTTATTGGGCAATTGGGGGATGGGAACAGTGCTGGGGAATTAGGGGAAGGGGAACAGACAAGTTGCTGTCGTTTTGTTCTTCAGTCTAGTTGTGGAGGAC